AATATTTTTTTTCTTTAAATTTCATACACGTGTAAATGGAAGAGAGATTTTGAGACGCAGAGTGTAATTAATAATTTTAACTGGTAAGAGGATGGAATTTAAATATTCCCTTAAAAGCTTGGATCCAAGTAAAAACGCATAACAATTAATTATATATTATTTCATATGTATTGCAATTAATATTGTTTCCAAATCTGTTTGGATTGTATTTATTTTCTTTTATGTATAAATAGGGACATGCAACTCATTGGAAATTGGAATACATACACTAATTATCAATAGCAAATTGCTCCTCATAAGCGGCTTGTTTTTAATTATAAGAACATAAAGCCATAAATTGGTAATATGGTGGCATATAACAAAGCTTGTTTCTTGGCTTTCTTCGTTGTGTTTGGTACGTACTTTCATTCTTTTACATATTTAAATTATTAAGGATCATCATTACAATAGTGTTCATTAAAAAGTCACTTTGTTCACAAGCTTACCATTCCCTCCGTTCATGAGTATTGGTCCACTTTTGTGTATTTAAATTTTTATTTTTTTAATTTTTTAAGACATTTTATTAACTTGGTGAGGTACACAAATGAGAAGTTTGTATAGTTTGTGAACAAGGAGTTTGTGTAGTTTTTCATCTACAACTTGATAAGAAAATAGTAACGTAACCGCTTATTAATTAATAGATATTTTAACCTTTTCTATTAAAGTACAAAAGTTTTAGTTTTAGTTTTTTTTTACATTATTCAAATTACATAAGAATTTGTATACAAAATAATTTCAAACAAATATCTATCATAAATTTATCGTAAATTAATTAATTAATTTTGCATTGTCAACAAAAACATTTGATGAGTTATTGGTCGGTTGAACGTGTGAATTTTACATAACAGGTATTTTGATACTGGAGAAGGAGGTTGATGAGGTTAAAGCGGCCGATCATGTTTATTGCATAGATGAATGCGACCCTGTAGCTGCCTATATGATTTGCCCACCTCACAATGAGAGGACTGATGGCGTTTGTAAAAATTGTTGCCAAATTAAATACTTTCCTCAACTCCGGGGGTGCCACCTCTTCTCCGCTAATGACACTCTTATATGTTAATTATACTTGTACTCATTGATGTTGCATGTTCCCAAAAATTTTATTACATCAACTATTTAAGTACGTAATGGAAATACTCCATATGGTAATTGTTCACTCCATATGGTAATTACTCAATTAAAATGGAGTTACATGGGTCATTAATGGAATTACCGTAATTAAGTAATTACACAATTAAAATGGTAAGTAATTTAAAGTAATAATAAAATACTCAAATTTGTAGGTGTTCTAATTGTAAAAAGGTAAGTAATAATAAAATATTTAATGTAATAATAAAATATTCAAACGAGTGTTGTAATTGTAAAAAGGTAAGTAATAATAAAAAATTCAAACATAATTACACTTACCGTTAATAAATCAATCCTTTTTTAATCAGTTTATACGAATGGTAATAATTATATTTAATTATATTTTCTAATATATATGTAACAATATCTAATAACTTATTTCATTTAAAAATGGTAATTAAAAACGGTAATAAAAAAACGTATAGAGTAATAAAAATAGGTATAGAGTAATGAAAATAGGAAAATACGTATAGAGTAATGTACATTTTTAACACGTATACAAAAATGGTAATAAAAAATTATTAATGGTAGAGATGTTGAACATTAATGCAGCGAAACAAATTTGGGCAAATTCTTCATACCATAACTTGCAAAAACAAAATTAGAAATTAAAATATAAACGAAAAAGATAAATAAAAACATAATTTTGGGCAGATTCTTCATACCATGACTTGCATAAACGAAATTAGAAATTAAAATACGTATAGAGTAATAAAAATAGGAAAATACGTATAGAGTAATTTGGGCAGATTCTTCATACCATAACTTGCATAAACGAAATTTTTAACACGTATACAAAAAATGGTAATAAAAAATTATTAATGGTAGATATGTTGAACATTAATGCAGCGAAACAAATTTGGGCAGATTCTTCATACCATAACTTGCATAAACGAAATTAGAAATTAAAATACGTATAGAGTAATATAGAGTAATGTACATTTTTAACACGTATACCAAAATGGTAATAAAAAGGAACACCGAAATTCACAAATTCATGTAGTATAAATACGCTACCTTACCGGGCCAGAAAAGTAAACGAGTGTTCATGAAACGAGAGTTTTAATTAATCGGTGCTCCACCATCGTTTTTGTACCAACATGGGAATGATTACCGCCTTAAAAAATGTTCATGAAAAATCTTGATTATGGATGATGAAGCTAAGAGCGATTAGGGTTTACCACGTTCCTGCTCATTCTCGAGGGCCAGAATCATATGGTAATATATACATGTATTTTGAATGATAAAATTCATATAAAGTATTAAGTATGAATATTTAATATAAAGTATTAAGTACGTATACAAAAAAGATAATTACAAATCTAATTACCACATTAAAGAAAGGCTAATAAAATACATATATTATTATGTTATGTTATCCTTTAATATAACCGTGTATTTTGAAATTCTAATTAAAAATAGGAAAATACGTATAGAGTAATGTACATTTTTAACACGTATAAAAAATGGTAATAAAAAATTATTAATGGTAGAGATGTTGAACATTAATGCAGCGAAACAAACTAGAGGAAAATTTTCTGCTCGAAAAGGTAAGTGTTCATAGACAGAAAAAGATAAATAAAAACATAATTTTGGGCAGATTCTTCATACCATAACTTGCATAAACGAAATTAGAAATTAAATACAGTGGGATAGACTGATAGAGGGAGTATATGTACGTATACGAATTGTGTATACCTATTTATACATAAATAAAAATAATAGAACGGAAACAATCATGATTGCAATACATAGTAACATAGATATCAAATACGTTATAGGTTTACATACTCCCTCTATTTCTAAAAAGTTGTAAAAAGAGTACCTCAGTTGACTAATGAGTGAAATAAGAAGGGTATATTTGTAATTGAATTTCCAATTTTGCCCTTAATGTGATAGGTAAAAGTAAAATACTATAAGTATATTATTAATGAAAAAGTATGATGTGATATGTAAGGTAAAAAAATATGGGTAAAGTTGGGTTTTTTTTATTGATAATGGAAGTGTTTTGGAAAAAGTAGAACGAATGAAAGATGAAGTGTTTAAAAAACGGACGAAATATTATAATTATTAATTACTCTGTGTTTCTCTATTTAAGGTTCATACGTACATTCATATTCTTATTATTTATCTCTATATCTCCTTGTCTTTGGCAGACGATGTCTTATACAAAAAAAAAAGGAAAACTTCACATCAATACTTTAAAAAAATATGAGATTTTACATTAATACTCCAAAATTATATAATTTACACCACTATTCCTAGAAATTACTCAATCTTATACCAATAATCTAGGCTACCAACTAAGTAGAATATGTGGCATTTTAAATGGTGACTATAAACTATTAAATATGCGTTGGTAACTACGAAGTGATAAAAAATAAAGATAAATAATGTTTTAGACAAAATAAAGAATTTTGAAGTAGATATTTCATAATCAAATTTCTAAAGATTTTTAAAATATAATCTTTGTACTATATAAACTTTAAAATTCTCTAATTTTTTTATCCGAAACACTATTTATACTTTATCCAGTTAAAATATAAATACTTTTTTTTAGTTTAACACATTTTATTTTAAATAGACATGGAGGGGGTTTCAGGTTTGTATAATGCATTCAAGGTATTTTCTTTATTTTTGTAATTAATTACCCATTCAAACATAATAATTATCAAGTCATCAATTAAAAAGCCACGTATTGAGCTTAGTTGGCAGCTTGGAGTATTGATGAAAAATTGAGTAATTTCTGGGAGCAGTGGTGTCAATTATTCAACTTTAGAGTATTGACGTAAAATCACATATTTTTTGGAGTATTCGTGTGAATTTTTCTAAAAAAATGCCAAAGAAATCCATTTCCTAACAGAAGGTTATTTCTATTTTCTTATTCAAATTTAACTTCCACTACAAGAATCTACGGGATTTTCAACGGAAATTTTACGGACGTTAGTCTCTTGCATATATAATACAAATATGGAAATATTTGATAATAGAGGATTAAATATAGAAATTCCTCCATTATAAAAAACCATTTATAGAATTTACTCCATTTTTAATAATAAGATAAATATATAATTGAATCAGAATAATGAAGATAGCTTAGAGTTGATGCAGGACCAGTCCTGAGTATTCATCAGCCTGGGCCAAAACAGAAAAAAGGCCTTAAAAGTCTTATCCTTAATGGTCTAAAAAATTCACATATGTAAACTAATCATATTTAAATTATAATTAACGTAATATTATTAGAAGAAAAAAATAAATGACAAAATTATAGTATTATAATTACATACCGTAAAAGCTAGCCGAGGATTCGAGAAGTTCTTCTTGCATTCTTGAGAGCAAATTGGTTGATCAGATCTTCACAGTCTATGCTCTCTAAGATTTCATTCTCGATAGATACCAATCCACTAAGTCTTTCTTGGGACATTGTAGACCGTAAGTAAGATTTCAAGAGCTTCAATTTGGAAAAACTTCTCTCTGCAGATCTCACCGTTACTGGAATAGTCAACAAAATTCTATATTCAATGCAGGCATTCTGGTAACAGTCAAGTTCTTTTAAATGCTTCAAAACATCTATAGGATTGATAAATTCACTAGTTTGTAATGTGTTGAATGATTTCAACTCCATGTAAAGCTTTTCAACATCAATATCCGATCTTTCTTCAAACTTGAGTGCATTTTCAAGTTGATGGCAAAACAACTTAAGCTTTTTTTCTTCAATTCCACTCAACTTATGTGGAAACAAAAACCCAAATAATCTCTCATAGTCTTTGAATTGTTCAAATCTCATCTCAAGAGAAGATATGGCTTTATCCACAACATAAGAGAAGCAATTGACCCTGAAATTCTCTTCATTTGTAAATGGAACTTCTTTGCTACTTGAACTCTCATTAACTCTTTTTTTCCTTCGAATCAAACGCTATTTCTGGAAATATCGGAGGTATATCCATTTCAGTAGCTATTTCCTTTGCTTCATCAATTGCTTTTGAATAACCAATTTCTCTATAACCCTTGAAGTAGTCAATCAATCCATTTATCTCTTCAATAGAAATATCAAGATGCATATCTTTTGATTGTAACTTCTTGCTCACTATATTTACCTGGTTTAATATTTGATACCAAATAATAATTGATACCAAAATCTAAAATTTGCTAAGATTTTCTGTTAGTGACTTTGCTGTATGAACAATTGTATTATCACTATCTTTTTCTTCAACTTCAAGCAAAGCTTCTCGTACATCGGAAAGTTGCATTCTAATGGCCTTAATACTCTCAACACAACTTTCCCAACGAGTTTGAGATAATGGCTTAAGACTCCAACCTTTAACATTATCTTTCAAAATTTGCCACCGATTAATTGAATGTGCAAAGATAATATAAAGTTTTTGGATGGCTCCAAAAAAATTCTTCCCTTTAACACAACTCTGATCCATATCACATAATGTAAGATTAAGAGAATGACAACCACAAGGAGTGTAAAATGCTCTAAGATTGACATCCAAAAATGTTTTTTGAACTCCTTGGTGCTTTCCTTTCATATTTGCCCCATTATCATAACCTTGACCATGAATATCATCAATTTCAAGACCAAGAGACTTTAACTCCTCAATTGTGACATCAAATAGTCCTTTTTCGGTGGTATGATTAACATTCAAGAAGCCTAAAAAGGACTCTTCCACAGTAATAGAATTACCTGAGAAGTTTAAATACCTCACTATCATACTCATCTGCTCTTGGTGACTTGTATCAGGGGTACAATCAAGTATGATTGAGTAGTACTTGGCTTCCTTTATCTTCTTGGTGATTTCCTTCTTAATCTCTTGGGCTAAATCAAGTATTAATTCATTCTGGATCTTGTGCCCGAGATAAAGCACATGAAGCTCATCATTTGTGCTTCGTCGCACATGCTCTCGAATAACTAGATCAAACTCTTGTAACATCTCAATGAGACCTAAGAAATTTCCATTACCTGTTAAAAAGTAAACACAATTAAGAAACATGACACTTTATGAAAGTGGAACATTTAAAAGTAAAACATTTTTAGCTCGTTACCTTTTTGATACAATCTTTCTTTTGAGCCACAGAATGCTAAATTATGTTTAGCCAAAAACTTCACTAATGCTATGATTCTAAAAATGACTTATTTCGAGTAATCTCTTTCTTTCGTGAATTGCTCATGCTATCAATTGTTTCATTCAGCTTCAATCTTTTACGCATATCAAGCCATCATTCACATTGGAGAGATGATCCATTGAAAGTTCGTGTTCTTTGACTCTTCTATGAGCATGGTGCCAAACTGCATAACATTCACCATCCCATTTACCTTTTAAAATTCCTGTTCTTAACAGTTTACAGTAGAAACAAAATATCTTGTCTACTTCTTTTGAATATACAAGCCATTCTCTATCACACTTCTCCATATTTGGTAAAGTTTTTGTATATAATGCTGCAGAAAAGCGTCTACCATTTTGTCCATCTTTTTGTATATACTATGATCTCTTTTTGGACCTTTCTCCACCAAAAGTTTAATCTCTTTAGAATTAAGTCCTTACCATCTTCTTGGATCAAATATATCGACAACAGTATGCACAACACTAACTATAGGCTCAAGATGTTCTTCTGCCTCTTCTAAATTTTCTTCCTCTTCTTCTAAATGTTCATCCTCTGCAATATGTTCTTGCTCTATTTGTAGATGATCTTGCTCTTCCATCTCTTTTACTTTAACTTGTTCATCTTCAGCAACAGGTTTCATAAACTTATATAAAGCTCCGGCTTGAGACTTTCTCATTTCTTCATCTCGTTTTGTCTTTTTTCTTTTATGACTACCAGATAATTGTTTAAAAGCCATAGCTATTGAATTATTTCTGAAATAAAATCCAAAATCATAAATTCTACCAAGTAAAATCAAGAATAAAAAACTGCAAAAAGCAAGCAAATAAATAAATAAATATATCATAAATTAATATCAATTCGTTAATTTTTCTTTTTTTAATTGTTTTTTTCTTTTGCAGTTTTAATTTTTTTTATAAATCATAAATTCATATCAATTCATCAGTTTTTATTTGTTTTTGGTTTTCAGTTTTTTAATATAAATATATAATTATCATAAATAAAAAATTCAAATCACTTCATACAAATCAAATAAATAACATATAGAACCATTCATTCTATTTCAAAGAATGAAATTAGAAAAGATTTCAAATTAAAAACTAATAATTAACCCTAGATTTTAAATCTAAAAAATGAAACAATGAAAGAAAATTAAGATTTAAAAAATAAAAAATACAAAATTGGAAAGGGAAGGCCATGTATAATTACCTGCAGGGTGGAGGCGTGCAGGTCGGCGACCTGGCGTCTGGCGGTGGAGGCGGCGACTCGGCTCTCTTGTTTCTTCCGGTCCTTTCTTGACGTTTCTGGTTTCTTCGATCGACACTTGCACTTTAGCTTTTCTTCCGTTTTGGTTTTTTTTGGTCTACAGAATACACATGGACTGGGCTAAGTTAAGGGGTTGGTCATGGTGGACTGGGCCTGGGCTTACACACACACACACACACACACCCACACACACATATATATAGGGAGCGTCTAAAATGACACAGTTGCTTACGCCAGTTCGTTTGGGTTACCTACGGTGCTACGTTTGTAAAAAAACGGTTCCTACCCCTCCTAACCCTCCCCATAAACCCCCCCACCTCAGCCCCACCCTTCCCCCCCACCCCAGCCCCCCCTCCCGCCCCCCTCCCTACCCTGGCACTACAGTGCCAGGCAGTGTACTGCCAGGGTAGGGAGGGGGGCGGGAGGGGGGGCTGGGGTTGGGGGGCAAGGGTGGGGCTGGGGTGGGGGGTTTATGGGGAGGGTTAGAAGGGGTAGGAACCGTCGTTGTACAAACGGAGCACTGTAGATACTCCAAACGAACTGGTGTAAGCAAATGACACCAGTAACACTGGTGTCATTTTAGACTTACCGATATATATATATATATATATATATATATATATATATATATATATATATATATATATGTATGTATGTATGTATGTATGTATGTATATGTATGTATGTATGTATGTATGTATATGTATGTATGTATGTATGTGTATATATATATATATATATATAAATTTGTGCCCCTAAAATTTTTTGGCCCGGCCCGGACGAACACCTTGTCCCCCTATTGGGCCGGCCCTGAGTTAATGTTGTTAACAAATAGAAGTATATTCGAACAAGAAATGCTAGAGTCACAAACACAAAGGTCAGAAAATATATAATCTTAATATTTGTACATAAATTTTACCAATTGAACAATTAGGTTTCAAATTATTAAATTTGTCAAATTTGTGACTAGCATTTAAGTATTTAAATCTTATATCTCTCTAAATCAAGTTCAATCTTGCACACAAACAAAAATATTTTTCATTGGGTATTTACTTTTAGTAAATTGGAAAGTGAACAATTTTGAAAATTAGCTTTTCAAGACTTCGAAAAAATCAAAATATAAAAGTTGTAGTTCCTTTCAATAAAAGATCGTCATTTATGAATTGCTCTTTTCATTACGTTAGCACTTCCACCCAATGATCTTTTATGCTCTATCATCTCGTTTGGGGGAGTTCTTTATGATACGAGGATGATTATGTGAAATCTCATATTTGTTTTCTAAATGTATGTGTTCCATACGCCTTTTATGCCATGACAAATTGGGTGAGAAATATATATGCTTCAAAAAAGCAATTTGTAATCTGTAATCACACATAAATGTTATATATGGTCCTTGCTCACTCAAATGTCCATAAACACATGAAAAAACAATTAAGACACATTGCTTTGTGTTAGAGGGGAGTTTTTTGAAATTTATATGTTTCGCTCCTACCGAAATTAAACTTCGAAGTAAATTATATGTGAACATAAAAAAGAGAGATTCTTAGAAATGGTATGCTTGGACTCATATTTTGTTAGTTCCATATCCTGTTGGCATTATTTTTTAACAAGCGAATAAATTTGTTTTGAATTATTATTTGGAAGTGTTTTATTTAAAGTTAGAGTCCTAGTATGCGTAGAAGATGAAAAAGAAGGATAGAGCTTGAAGAATCATAATGCCACTTGATCTACTATTATGATAAAACTTCAAATCCAAACCGCACAACGTTGCTGAAACCAAGTTGGTATCGGTAGGCTGGCAGTTGTCGGCGTGGCTTAGGAAAAGGAAATCCGGCGCAAGGTTTGGGAGAGGGAGAAGACCGAAACCCTTAGGGTTTCGTGTAGCCAAAGGAAGAGAGGGAGAGTTTAGAGAGAGAAGTGTTGGACATGAGTTCAAACCCTTTTATTATTGCTCGAAATATTTTTTTTGTTTTGATAAATGACAAACGGGATGATTAAATCGATATTCGAAAATTTATTTTTCGTATTGAGAAAAGCAAAGAAGGGTATCAAGAAGTTTACGGCGATAAAAATCGACAATCACCCCTACGCAGATTTTTTTTGAAGTGAAGTGAAGACTCCGAAGACTTTTTTTATTTTTTATTAAGTCTAGGAATCTTTGTAAGGATGACAATATTTTCTGCACAAACAAATGTATTTCTGAGGGATAAAAAAATTATTATTTCTTGAGTTAGTTGAAAAATTATTTTTTTTGTCCAAAAATATTTTACTGAGTCAGTTTCAAAAATAAGTGTGTCAAAATTTCTTCAAAATATTTTTAAAGATTACAAAATTATTTTTGGTAAGAAAAATATACTTTAAATATTTTTCGTATACATCATTTGACACACAAAATAATTTTTTGGACTCACTTTTTCTCCCCTATTCAAAATTCATTGAATAAGGGATACTTTCTCTTGAGGAGCGTTCTTGTCTCAAACAAACAAGTATACGCCAATTCACTTCATATCGTAACTGGCTTAGGCCCTTTTGTGTTGCACATTATTTCCTCCATAATCGATTATCTGCCTTCATATAATCGATTAATAGGCTTTTCGTTGGATTCCCTGGTCTGACCAATAATCGATTTTTTGTCTTCAATTAATCGATTAGTTCGGACAGAGCCGACTAATCGATTTTTAGGCCTTCCGTTAATCGATTATTTCTGTTCTTCTATTCAGGTTTTTCGCCTCTGTGTACCGTAATCGATTTATCTTTCTACGTTAATCGATTAATTTTATCTGGTGCATATCCTCAGCGTACTCCAACGGCTTTATTTTCCTCAGCCTATTTAATCTCTCATTCTCCTTCATTTCCAAACACATCTCTTGCACTCCAATATATTCTTTGAGCTATATTCATCATTTGCTTCATCTTCCTCATCAAAATATTATTTTTGAGAGTTAGAAATATTTCCTTTGAGTGCTAAAGAAGTTGTCATCCATAGAGCTTTAATTCGTCAACACTACTTTGCTCAATTGTGTGAGCTTTCATTCTTGTGTTGTAAACTCAATCTCATTTGAGTGTTGTTCTTAACACTTGTGTGACTCAAGTCTTGTTGTTGTAAGAAAGTGAGGCTTGTGTGATTCAAGTTCTCAAGTTGTACCGGTTTTTCAAGCACCCGTTGAAGCTTGAAGATTAGTAGGACTTTCGAGAGAGTCTCTCGGAGGACTGGACTAGCCACGAGGTGGTGAACCAGTATAAATCTCGGTGTTCTTCTTTCCCTTACTCTCTTTATTTATTCTTGCGATTTTATTATTTCACACACGCGAAAAACACACATTCTTGAAAACAACTCTATTCACCCCCCCTCTAGAGTTGCACATTTGTCTAAC